TTGGCGACGAAAAAAGTAGACTTTTTGAAACCAGTGATAGAAACATTGAATGATTCACAAGTAATGGCGAAAGGTATTCTATCCATATTCAAGTCAATTGATTTAAAATCTATATTTTTTGGCTAAGATTCACGTCTGGATGTGTGTCATCTCAATTGATCATTACTCCGAATAGTGCTCAGTATATGCTATCCAATGGTATTTTTGATTTTTCCAAGAAAAACTATTTTAAAGTTTTGCAAGAAAAATAAAAGTCATCTCATGGACAGTTTAATTTAAAAAAAATCACATTTGAATTAACAATGAAATAAAGCATAAATACATGCAAACAATCTTTTTTAGGCAGAACCAAAGCATCATGATAATTTGTTGTTTTTATCGGATGCTTTAGGCATTCTAAAGTCAATTGTTGAATGCAACTATTTCTTCTTTGAATTATTCGCCAGTAATTCGTCTTAGACAACGCTTTTGATTAGCAGTCTGAATATTGTTTCTAATTTGTCACCGTCATGCAAAGCTGGTATAACGAAACTATTCATCTGATGAAACGAATAGATAGCATTAGACCGCTAAGAAACTATTGAAAAATATCTTGAATTATTCGTTGCTTTGACTAAATTTATCTTATTGCATGGAAGTACAGTTTATGCATTGAGAACGATTAATTTGTCACGAAGTTGATTACACCAATTTTCTTCGAGATCTTCCAATGATTTCAAATCAGCATCGTTGAGCGTTAAAATAGTGCCGTGGCTTTTTCGAAATCATTTAACGAAAAGTATGTTGTGTTTAACAAATACCTGAATAATAAAGCTTTTGAACCATAATGGCATACACATACTCGAACATCTCATTCAAATAGAAAATATGTGTATCTATTAACAGTGTAGACTTTTTGCGGAGGATGAGAAACAATTCGATCTTCGTAAAATTTGTAGGCAATGGTCGTTTTGCTTACACACGCTGACCCGAGGAGAGTAATAACAATTGTAAGAATGAGAAAATTGTTTCATTTGATGGCGGATGAATCAAATCAAGCAAACGAATCAAAATTCAGACAGTTGGCATGCACTAAGTAGTTTCCTAAGTCAAAGCAAAACGTAGCTGTTTACGGTCCTTATTTCATTGTCAAGTCATTCACAGTAATGCAGACTAGAGTTCCAACCGAGCAACTATGCTTGACTATAACAGACACAAGCTAGGCTTTTTAGGTCTGCCTTGTTACAGGCAGGGCGTCCGATCTGTGTAATTTTGTTTTTTTGACATCAATATTTTATCTGATAAATTGAATATTGAGAGCACACAGATTCAGCTGGGTTAGTTTTCAAAGATGACAGTTAAATATGATGAGTTCGATAAATATTTTAGAATAAATCTTGAAGATATTTATAGCCAATTAAACCTATTACCATTCTCGAGAGATTATCAACATAAATTTCTATTTTTCTTTTTTCTTGCTTGTTGTATTTTTTCAATTCCAGCTAATTTGGCTGAACTTGAATCATATTTTTTCTGCTTTAAGTTTATCAGTTACTGAAGATCATTCCACTGTTGATTGTAATACTAAATTTTATAAAATATCTCCTATTTATATGGCATATATGTCAAAGTTGACATAATAATTTAGCTGAGTTTGGAATGCATAAATCAAGTTAAAAAAATCTCTCAGAAAAAGATTATAATACGTATAAAACTTTATAAGCAAGATGAAATGATAAAAAAACACAAATAATTCATAGAGTATATAAAAGAATCTGATCCAAAATTTGCTAAGAACGATGATATGTAATATAACATTGCTTATTCTACTTAGACAATAAATTTAGCTTTCAACAGGGCACAAACTCACCGAGTTATGTCTGGATTTGAGATCATACCGGGTACTTGACTTAACAATACATAAGATCTCGACGTTGCAAAATATTTTTACTTTTTCAAACTGCTATATATAAAAAAGGCATAGGAATGAAAGCCGGTTCGATCATGACCGAGCAACTGATTGTACTTTAGCACACGTCACAGAAGTGGAAAGCAATATTGTTCTACTAAGAGCATTCGTTTTTAATGAATATTTCATCTGTAGATAATGAAAAACCATATGACGGACTAAATGAATACATGGAGAGGAAAATGAATGATCAAAAAGTTGAACACGTATTATCATGATGAAAAATGCATTCATATATGTATTCACAACTATGACATAAATCTTTAATATTTCGAATTTAAGAGTTTTTATTTTAAAGTCATTTTTTTCATTGTAAAAATGTTTAACTTTGCTTAGGTTTTCAAAAGGTGCTCATTTTAATTTATTTTAAATTGAATAATTGTCTTATCGTAACGATATTATTAAGCATTTCAAAAAATGGATATTTGAAATAATAACTTGTAGTCATTATTATTCGTTTTCAATAAATTATTATTCATATTTTCAAACATCTGATCATGTTATATTAGTATTGGAATATACATTTTGTGTTGATCTTATTATGCAAAGTCATCAATGTTTTTAATGAGCAACGTTCATGCTTTTTACTTTTGAATCGAGACGATTGTCTTGAAATTCCTTAGCTTTTTTTCATTTCTTTTTATTTCATTTCATAATTCGATTATTTTAGTTGTAATGTTTGTACACAAGGTATCGGTTATGATGAAATGACACGTACATTTTTTAATACACTAGGAGTAAATTCGTGTTTATAATATTATGAATTATGAATTCGGAAACTCTTTTTATTTTTTAACATCTGAACTGCCTATTGAATTTTTACACACACGAGGTGTTGATTGGTGGGCTTAAAAAGTTATTAATTATAAAATATATTTTGATGTACTATCAAATATTGTTTGTTTATGTATTGAGGTGTTTTAATTTATACAATGCTGATAGGAGAATCTCTATTTTCGGATGATGATGATGTTTTTCATATCATTGTAGATGATTAAGCTTAATATCCAAGATTTATTTTTTATTGATTCAATAACTATTATGAAACGAGTATAATTATTAATTTAGTTTTTATTTAAAATAATTCTTTTTCAAGCTTCTAAGGAAATGAACAAGATATTCTTTATATTAGACGACAATTGCTTTTAAGGCTTATTATTCTGAAAAATTCTTTATTAAACAAAGCTCTCCTTTGTTTACAATATCATATGATGTTTTAAATTTTGATACAAAATTCATATCAGAAGAATCAATGTTAACAACAGATGAAGATTCTCATCTAATATTTGACCAAGATCAAAAACATTTTGAAGAATTTTATCATGTAAATTAATGCCAAAATTGGCTGTGCTGAACTCAATTTTGGTTTATAGCAGTCAGAGTTGTAGTGTTTTAAACTGTCTACTAAGAACTACAAAATCCTGCAAGAATTAGTCTGCGGATTCTTAAAATAGTCTGCAGAATCTTATCAAAAGAAGAGCCACAAAAATGAATGCAGGTTTGTAGATGTTCGTGTTGATGTTGGACAATATCTAGATTAAGGAAAAGGGAAGTTACTGTTACTAGACAGTTACATTACTAGGTGACGGTGTAACGAACTATTCGTAGATTTGATTTTTTCACTAAAGAAAGGCTTCTTTTAAGAATGTAGAAATTTTTAATGAAGTTTGATCGAAAGTCTTTTGTGGGTGAGAAATCCGAATTACAGTTGATTTCTCGCCCAAGTTTTTTGGCTCCAAACGTCTTTGATTAAACTTTATAAATAACCGCTGTTTCTTTCCAAAAGCCTTTCTTTTATTAAAAGAAATCAAATCTATGAATTTTTCGTTCTCATTTCCCGATACCTAGTAACGTAACAGTAAGTTTCTTCCCCTAATCTAGATATCGAAAATAGCTGGTTGGCTGAAAGTACAGCACACAGTGGTCATCTGACATAGCTAGTCTGGCGTTCAAGATATATAAGTGGACGCATGACTATAAACGCAGATGCAAACAAACAAACGCTTATTTTATTTCGTAAGATCCTCTTTTCAAGCGAGAGAACAAACATTACAAAATTTCAATTAGCTTTCAAGGTCAAAAAAAGGAAAAGAAGGAAAATATGATTAAAAAAGATTACAACAATACTGAAACGAAAGAGTGAAAGGATCAGAGAACGTAACTACATATAGAACGAAACAATGAAAAATGAGAACAATATGAAATGAAATGAAAAGCAAAATTAGTAAACAGGTTCAGCCCATGGGTCACATAGGTGTTACACTTGACAATAAAATCCGGCCGACGGGTCTGTAACCTGTGCAAATACCAAACTCATCAGCATCTCTATTTTAATTTCCTATAGTTAATTATTATTTTTCTCCTACTTGTATTAATTCAATCACAAATAAACAGACTTTTCTATTTTACCGTTTCGGATGTATTCGAGATACGTTTGGTTATCTACTCGTTTTTTGTTCACAGATATTCGAAATTTCTTGGAACAATATTTTTGTTAGTCTTGTGATGATGGTTAAGCTGTCCTATACTATCGCAACAGCTGTCAGATATTCGCATTTATCGTCTATCTTGTTTGTTTTCTTACCTATCCTTTTTGTTGGCCAGTCTGGACAAGATCAACAGACAAAATGGGCTAGACATAGTATATAGATGGGACATTTTAGACTAACTTACCGGTGTACACGTCTATGTCAGACTAGTCATGCTGTCTGTATCCACTTTTTCTTCGAATGACTTAATATAAATCTCTATACATAATTTTCAATTGAATCAAATGCATCAATTATTTCAATGCTCATTTCATCTGAAACAGCTTTCAATAAATATTCGCTCTGACGAAAATGATGAATATAAATTTTTTTTTTCCGACACTGATTGTTTGAGCATTGTTATTTTTGATATTTCTGCCACTTCAAAAATGATTACTTTTTTGCAAAATCTACCGAATTTACGTCGCTTAAATATAAATTTATCATGTAATTTAATCGACGGTTATCGGTGGGAATAAGTCATTCGTTTTTATTTACCTATGCTCAAAGTATTTAATTTAAATATGGAAAAGGAATTTTCTGTCGGTCAAAATATACAAGAACGAGTTGATAAATTAATTAATTCATTTCGAAGTTCATTTTGGATTGATGAAGATCAATGGTTTGTTCTATGTCTCACATATGACAGAACTATTCATCTTGAAACTTTATCTGAAATATATTATCATTCCCAAATCAAACCTTCTGACTCATGCAAATCGACCAATCCTCATGATGATTATCACAAATTTTATAATAACATAAATAACATTGATTATAATGGTTTCTTTTTTGATCGGCCATTTCCATTTGATCTTTGTTTGTCTAAAATTCGGCATTTTTCTATGAAATCTCGAATTCATGATCAATTTTGGTCTATTGTTTTAAGTTTGAAAAAACCCTATTCACTTACAGGATCTTTTATTTCTGATGCATTTCAATCTCAATTTCAAAGTTTACTTGCTCATGCGCCCCATCTTCGTTCTCTGAATATTAGTGAAGGGGGTAAAATCTTATCGCTAATTCCTCATTTCGCCAATTGGCGAACACAGTAATACGAAAATATTTTATTTATTGGCGAATGTCACACTAGTAATTTTGCCAATATGAATGAGTTGAATTGTAACTCAAGTATAATACTTTACATTTTTACTACATAAAGTGAATTAGTTCAGGTGTGATAGTATATCAATAAAAAGTAAATAATTTTTTTCTGTGTTCTACTTAGTCGATATGTGCCTTTCGTTGTTTCAAATGCATAGCATTGAACCAGAAAACAACGCCCTCGGTGCACAATTACTTTTTTGTATGATAAATATCTCGAATGTGGATGTGGGTGGGTGTGAGTGTTGGTGTGGATGTTGGTCAGCTGAAGGACAAGATGTACCTCTGCGCAAATACCCGCATGCACATTCACATCCACCCACACCAACCCCATATTTAATTATCAGAAATTCACACTCTATTAGTCAAATTCAAATGTGGATTCAATAGAAGTCACAACAACAGCAAATATACATATTGATTTATTCAACTAAAATACTATTCTTCATGTTACGAATATTTCTGTTTATAAAAATAAAATTATGGTTAATTAAAGATTATTAAGATTTATTTTGAAAATAAGATTTACACGATTTGGATCAACTGTGCAATTGATTAAACGCATAACAAATTTTCAGAAGAGCGTTTTGATAATGAATTTCGAAATAAAAAGATGACTATTTCTATTGAATAGATTAGTGAATGGTGAGCAGAGAAACGTTCAGCATCGAAAAAATCATCACGCGAAAATGTAATATCTGCTATTGAATCAAATTGAGTACGAATATTTGAATGAGATGTGAATGTGTTTTAATAACTATTTTTTACAAAACATTGATTTTTTTCTTGTTTTTCGATGCATATGCGTAGGCGCATGAAAATCAGATCCACACACATACCTGTAATTTAGAATATGATTGTACTATGCACTGGTTGTGTCAGAATGGAGAAATGCTTCTTACAGTCACAATTGTACATTCATATTTTATTTGAAATAATTATCTATTAGAACAAAGTGTTGATGACCTATAGTACAGAAGTATGGATTCGGACTAATTATTGGTGATACAATCGCTGAAAACAGTCACTGTAAATTGGAGTTGTCAATTGTCTTTTATTTATTTGAGTTAGTTTTGTCCAGGAATTGAAAACTTTCACTTCATGGGATATTCTACTATCTATTAAGGTTGGCGCATGAGCGAGATCCTTTTTGGATTTCTTTGAATTATGTGAAATTCTTTATCTAAACAATTGTTTTTAGAATGTGTTTCATGAACATTGTTTCCGTAGTATCGTGAAACGACATATGCTTCTAGATCTTAGTCAATTATAGTTTGCTGATAAGATTTGACATGTATCGATAGGCACAAGTCATGTCTTCTGATGAATCTGTCAATCATAATATGCGTGACATTTTTATTTCAAAGTTAAAAGTTCATAAATCAAAAATCAACAACATTTTAATAAAGCATACAAGATGGTGCTGCTATCAAGAAAAAAGCCCACTATATTAAGTGCTAGCATTTACCTGACAAACTAGTCAAAGAGATTGACAACATTAAAGCAGTAATTGGCAGAAAGTCCTGTATATCTGTTTTGTTTTCTGGTAAGTTGAGACCACCACCATATCTTGCGTCCTTTTAACTGTACAGTGTTAAGCAAATCTAACTTTTTCATATAAAATTGGTTTTCAAATTTTTTATTTCCGAGCCAATATAGTATTTGGCAATACAATTAAAAGCTAGAAGTTTCTGATAAAGAAAATAGAAGACTCGTTGGTGATATTTGTCAATATCGTCCTTTGTAAATATAACAGTTTCAATTTTTTATCATTGATTCGTCTTATTCTTAGAAATAGGTAGGCAAACAATGTTCGAACACATACTTGCCCATGTTTTTTTTTTTTTATTTCTCAATTTGGAGACTCAAAAAACAACAAGAAAAAAGACCCTTTTTTTGGTTAATAGATAGTCCTCGTCTTTATCAGATGGATGTCATAATACTATTACACTCGACATCAAGACACAAGTGTCATAACGCCCGAGAAAGTATTCAACTCAATTCAATAATAGTAACGGCAAGGACTAATAACCAAATGCTCTATGAGGTGATTATACCAAGACAACTAAAATCCCTCAACTTTTAAAATATATAATTTTATTGATTGGATAATAGGAAGACTATTCGTTTCGGTAGTTCTGATTTCATCAAATTGAATGCACCGTAATTGAATATTCTACTGGACATCATGGCGTTTATATCTTGATGATGGATGAAATGAAATAATGAAAAAATTCTTTTCGCTAGACTATTCTTGTTCGTTGATCAACAATCTCTTTCAATTACTGAATCATGTGGAATACATGAGAGGATTTGTTTAAGTGTACTAGACGCCTTTTTAAAACTCATAGATGAGTAATTTCCGAAAGTTTGATTCGAACTCGCTTCATTTTCACATAAAATAATCTTCTCCGCAGTGGTAAATTTATGATCTCGAACCGAGACAATCCTTAAAAAAAGCGCATTTGTCTGTTTATCCATTACATCACAATTTCACTGTGCGATCTCACTTATAACCATGTCTATGATTATGTCTCGTTTACTTGGTCTCCGTCGGCGAATCTACCACCTAGCGGATCAATGCATAACACCTTGCAAACGAAAACTATATGAAAAAACAAGAGGCTTAGCTTGATGAATGTCTCAAATATCCGCATAATCGAAAAGAAATCCTGGATTCGTCACTGTTTGCTGTTTTTGAACAACTGAATATCTTTATTACACAGTTCAGAGAAAATTCACGATTTTCTTCTCTCACTTCTTATTTATTTAATTAATAATAAACACGTATGAAACAGGTAAGTCGGTTTTGGAACGTGACATTTATAGAGCTGCAATCAAGTCTTCGCTTATTTCATGTTGGTCGATTACACAATAAGTACTATTGATTTAGACAGTGAAGATTCACAATTTTGAGCATTCTTTCATTCACTCATTTATGTACTTCTCGCTATTTAACAGTCAAAGACGAATGGCTCTTCAAGAGAACTACACGCAAACTGACAAATCTATCATTCAAACTCGTCGATTCTATGATGTGACACTCAAACACGCTCTTCAGTTTATTGCCCATTTACTATTACCGCTGATGTTAGGCATATTCACTGTTGCCATGACTATTAATCAACAGAATATGGCCAGAGAGCAACGTGCTGAAGACCAGAAAATAGCCGAACTGCAGCGTGATCTAGAGAGAAAGTTGAATGATGAACGCTATCAAAATGACATTCGTGATGCATATATTAAGGAGATGGGTGAATTGTTAAAAGAAAACAATGGTTCACTCATGTCTAATCCAGTCACAGCTGCTATTGCTCGAGGCAAAACTCTTAATATCTTTCGAGAACTAGATTCACAACGCAAGGCTCGTATCATTCAGTTTCTCGTTGAAACTAAGCAACTGAGCGAAGCTCAGAAACAACGTCCTTTGGATCTGTCAACAGCAGAGCTTCATAATATCGACTTTCGCCATTCAGCAGTTAATAAAAAAGTACTGAGCAATATAGCATTGAGTGGTGTCTTTCTACGTAATGCTACTTTCATGCGTATGGAGTTGGGACATGCTACATTTTCCGAAAGTCAACTAGATGATGTCAACTTTTCGTTGGCTCGCCTCACCAGTGTCAAATTTTCGTCCGCTCAACTTCGCCAGGTTGATTTCTCATTTGCTCGGCTTAACTATGCCAACTTTTTATCCGCTCAACTCGACAGTGTCAATTTTACGTCTGCTGTACTAAGTAAAACTGATTAAGACTTTTTTCTGCTTCATGAAATACATTTTTCAATGACATTTTTAGCTTCAACTGATTTTCGCTATGCACAACTATCCCGTACGTCGTTTGAACAAACGAGTTGCACAGCAGCCCGTTTTGATCATGCTAATTTGTCAAATGCCACATTTCGGTATGCTGATGCTAAGGGTGCTTCTTTTATTAGGATTGACTTGATCAACGTTGATTTTTCTCATGCCAACTTATACAAGGCTGATTTTACTGGCAGTAATATAACAGATTCTCAGTTGCGACGTGCACTTTCGGTTCAAGACGCTAAATTACCTAATGGAACACTTGCTCGTGATTCGAATTTAATCAACAACGGCCAAGCTAACTGTAATGTTTCTGTTGTCGGTAGTTGGAAAGTGGAAATTGGTAATGTCACTGCAGTGATGGTTGACGAGAACACTACTAACTGTCAGTTCACGTTGCAATCAGTTGCTACCGGAGCTACCATGTCGCAACTCATTGATTTATCAAGCAATTTTCACAAAAATTCTTGGCCCCATTCCCAGGCCGTATTGAATGCACGAATGAGCATCGGTGTATCTATTCACTTGAGAGGTATCAACAGCAGCGGACAAATCCTTGTTCAACAGAACTTCAGTAAGTTTCACCATTATCATACCAATTTCAGTACGTTGTTTTAATACACAGCATCCAAGCAAAGCAATATCACTTTGGATTTGCGCGATGGTGTTCGCGAACTCGAAGTATCCATTGAGTTCAGTTCACTCCATAAAAGAAGTAACACAACAAGTTACTGGTGTGATGACATTTATCTGTTCATCGCCTATGGTACGGATTTGGAATTTTTAGGAGGTAAGCATGAAGTTGAACATTCTGAGTTGACAAAAAATTTACTCTGTACTCCATATTTGGGCAGTTTTCCTGAATGGGTAAAATTTCTCATACTATCTCGTTCACTGTCTCTAATTTTGACTGTTTTGAGTGATGTTCATGATTGCTTGCACATTTAACAGCTTAGTCTTCTCTGCTGTTTCGCATCCAAATTCGTCAGATACAGTCATTTTTGTTGTTACATTCATGACATTTTTTCCCAACAGCGTGTTTCTTAAAAGCGGTAGAAATAATAGTATCACGCAGAGATCATCTGGAGTAAGTCCACTTGAAAGAAGATATTCATCATTATGTTTCAACATGAAAGCTCATTTACGAGATGTTCTACAGAAAAAAATGAGTCGAAAAAGTTGATTTTCATTTGCATATGCTACTTCCTACTGATTAGATTCGACGTGGAAAGTAAAGAATGACGAATTCACTGAGAGATAGACTCTGATTGAATGTATGATATTCATTGATGATTTCTATTCTAGAGATGGTGATTGATTTAATTTAAAGTGATGTTGAGTGAGCTATTCAATTCTTACAAGAAATTATCGATGAACGATATACCATTCCACTATCTAAAACTAACTCAAGCAATCGTAGTGCACGTAATCTTTAGATTCGCTTGAGTATAAATAAACATCTTGCAGCTAAAGCTTGTGATGTCATCATTGCATAATAGTATGTTCTAGAGTCGTGCCTTACACGGGCTATCAGTGAATCGCATATTATGGTGGATTTTGAATTATCGACTTTTTCAAAGACTTTCCATACCTTACAGAATATTTAACGTGACTTCGTATAAATCTGTAAAATTTGATCAAAAATTAATAGCTATAATGATTTTCTAAAGAACTTTCTTCTCTCTCTTATGTCCATAGTCAAAAGTTAATAAATGTTGAGATATATATAAATGTGGGAAAAGACTTGTATTTAGGAGGACAAGTAATCAGCACGGCATGTTCTATTCCACTATATCTGAGACAAGACTAACAGAAGCGAAGCTAGTGATTTTTCTATTTATGATTGCTTGTTTGATGATTAACAATATTCAAGGAACAAAAGATCCTGCTTCTGCACCACATCGTCATACTGCTGTACATTTATTTGAATGGAAATGGAAAGATATTGCTGATGAATGCATCAGATTTCTTGGACCCTATGGTTACGCAGCTATTCAGGTTTGTTTATTCATCAGAATATTAGTAATATATTCTTCCTATCTACTTGATTAAATAGGTTTCACCGGCTAGTGAACATGCCGTTTTCAGTAATCACCCATGGTGGCAACGTTATCAACCTGTAAGCTACAAGCTCGAGTCACGCAGTGGTAATGAAACCGAATTTAAAGATATGGTCACAATATGTAATAGTGCTAGTGTCCGGTAAGACTTTAGTAATTGATCAACAAAAAACGAACTTTTAGTTTCGTTTGCAGTATTTACGTGGATGTAGTGCTCAATCACATGGCAGGAGGCGGATATCAAGGATCAGGTGGTAAGACACAGAAGACGTCTATTCGAAAATATTGCGAAAACAGTTTATTTCTCTTGAGTGATCATAAACTTACAGAGCGACAGGTAAAAAACAATCGAGAAAATAAGTTGAATCGATCTGAACACCGCTTGAGAGTCATTGTACTATTTGCAGTATTAATAGGATCTTATTGATTTCAATAAATTTCTGCCGTACTGAAATATGATTCAGATTCTCAACGATAAGATGATGATTTTTTTAGGTTCTTCCTACGATGTCAACTCGAAAAGTTATCCCGCTGTACCATTCAGTGACGGCGGTATGAGAAAGTCCTGACATTGATGCTAAAAGCACTCGTCATGTTTCGATAGATTTTAGTGACGACCTTTGCAAAACAGTTCATGGCGGTATTGACAATGACGATGATGCTGAGCAAGTAAGGTGACTAACTCTATTTATTTGAAAAACTAGTTCGACGTGTATATAGTTGCGAAATTGCCGACTACTCGGAATGCCCGATCTATGGTTATCAAAAGATCACGTGGCGGACAAAATTATTGAACATCTGAATCACTTGATTAAAATCGGTGTAGCCGGCTTTCGTATTTGTGCTGCCAAGCATATGTGGCCCGACGATTTGAGTAAAATCATAAGCAAAGTAGATAATTTACGAGCAGAGTATGTTAAATACTTAAGAGATGTCTTATGAGCCTGTCGAAGAACTGAAGCTCGAAGCAAAATTTACGTTTTTTTCCATTTGACCCATACATTTGGTTGAACTAAGAAAAAGTTAATCGGAATCAAGCTTAAGTGGTCGACAAGTTTAACGAGAAACAGTCGAAATTTAGTTTCGAAAAGTTGACTTATGTAGCTAAACAAAGGCCTAACATAACTTTTCAAATCAATGTATCAAAAGATAGAACGTCAAAAACTTATCAAAAGAAGCTATTTAGAACTTATTTTCCTGTACTGGTTCGCTTTTTCTTCTGAAAGCACCGTTAAAAATGAGCCATTTCTGTTCTAAAAATACGTCAACTTTTTGAGCGTATCGCCTACCGTTCAGTTAAATGGAGAGTCTCCAAGTTGAACTTTACATACATATTGTGCATGTTTTCTTGCTCTACAAAATAGTAAAAAAATCGAAAAAATCTGTTCGTTCAGTTATGGGTGCAGGTATCCTCTTTATTCACACCCACATCCATATTCTTCTCGTAGACTCTGGAAATGGATAATCAAACAGTCAATGTGATATAACTAGTTTACAAATAAGTTTCAATTTCGACCACATATTTGTGATCCAAATCCTGAGTTCTACAAGACTCAACAACAATAGATCGATTACCTAACGAAACATTTTTTTTTGAAATCTTCATACCTCCTTCGAGGGTCTGAAGGGATCAAAACTTTCTTTGCTTTTTCAAGTCAGTTACCTCTACTATTTGTTCTGGAATGGTGCCCTGATCCTTGCCTTTTAGCAATTTTCTGTTGGAACAAGATGTCCAAAAATTAACTTTGGTTCACTGTATGTATATAACGACTTCGGCGGGGGAGAGGAGAGCAGAGCACACAATGTAGGCCTCTTTTCAGTCCAAGTAATAGGTTTTTTCGAATATTTTTACTACTTTGTATTGGAGAGAACTTGTGCAATACATACGGCAGGCGATACAGTTGGAAAATTGACGCTTTTTGAGAAGCAAAAATGGCTTGTTCTCAAAAATGTATGCAGAAGAAAAATTTTGCTAAGTTTTCGACGCTCCATCTCTTGATATATTGCTTGGAAAAGTTGTGTTAATCTTTTGTTGCAATCACAGGAATCAAATTTTCGAAACTAAATTTCGACTCTTTTTTCGTCGAACTTGTCGAGCACTCATGGTTACTTCCGACTAACTTGTTTTTAATTCAACGAAAGGCGCTAAAAGTTTGAAGTTAGAGGTTTTTGACATTGCTGGTTAAGATGAACATGTCAAATGAAAAATGTAAATTTTGCCATGTTCTTCGGTGTCTGATATGATGCTTGATTATATTCATGGATCTTACCTTTGTTTTTCTTCTCTATCATTGCCTTGTTACAGTATCTTTGGTAGTGGTAAACGACCATTTATCTATTTTGACGCAATCAATCGCGGCAGTGAAACAATCAAAGCAAAAGATTATACACGGATCGGTCGTGTAACTGAATTTCGCTATGGAAAGTTTTTGAGCGACGTTGTTCGCAAGAAAAACAATCACAAAATGGCACGTTTGCACAATTTCGGCACTAGTAGTGGAAAAGGATTTTATTTTTGAATATAGTTTTATGTCTTGCGCTTTAGATTGGGGTATGATTTCTGATAGTGATTCACTGATTATGATTGACACTCATGATACTCAGCGAGGACATGGAACTGGTGACGATGTTTCGACTTTTTTTGAATCTCGTTTATACAAGATTGCCACCGCTTTTATGCTTGCATTGCCATATGGTAATTTAATATGATATAGAAATGCAAAATTGATTATATTAGGAGAAACTGTGACAGCTTATCTTCTAAACTATTTCTGTTTTCTGAATTTAGGTTTTCCAATTATTATGTCCAGCTATAATTTCAGTCGTAACAATGGTGATCAAGGACCACCGTCAGATGACTTCGGTAATACCAATAGTGTTTCTATTTCGTATGTGATTTCATATTAGCTGAAAACTTTTGTGAGTAAAAGAAGAAACCAATTTAATAGGAATCTGACTTGCACAGACAGATGGATATGTGAGCATCGTTGGCGACAAATCTACAATATGGTTGGTTTCCGTAATACAGCCAAANCGGTGGCTACTAGCGGGTGGGTACTGTCAGCATGTTCGTCTTGTTCCGCGGTGTTGTGCATGGCTGCCTCTCGGGGGGGGGGGGGGGGGGGGGGGGGGGGAGTCGCAAAAACTCGAACTTAAAACTTACACTCACTATTTTCTTCGAAAACATATGTGAGTTCCACAAAATTATTTAGACATTCTGTATAAGGAAGAATTTCTGATTAGGGTTAGTGGTATATGTGTTGCAATACACTGATAAAAGTTACCATAACGTGCTTAAAAAGGTTCCGAAATTTTGAAACGAAATGAAATCCTGTTTTAAGTTTCTTAAAAGCGAGGTTTCGTACAAAACTCTTTTCCCCTTTGTTTCAAAAACGATTTCGTAATCAAAATTTCGTACGGAGTCGAAATTTAATTATACTAAGCCTATATCAATTTATTTCCGTATACCTATCTCCTTGTATATACACTCTAAAAAACGAAATTTTACTAAACCAAAAAAGGATCTTCCTGTGTGCCCGAGGGAAAATCCTATTTTGGTTCTGTAGAAAAAAGGTTTCATATCAAACCATTTCTGGACAACTGCAACAAAAGATTTTGTGTCAAAAGTTTTGTACTAAACCTTTTTTTAATGACCTACACAGTCACTAATTTACTTTGAAATAAAATCTACTCATAACTTTCAGATTTTAATCAGTCCATAATAAAAAAAAATAAATAGATTTATTTTATACAATGAAATCAAACTCATTGCACAATGTTCATACTTGAATCAAACTATCACAGAGAAATTAATATAACTTACGTTATATAATAAAACTTACCTATTTTATATTCGAGTAAATCCACGATAGAAAAACTAATATTAGTTATTTTATACAATGCAGCTTACCTATGCCATGTTTGAGTCAATCTATAATAGAAAAGAAATTAACTTAATAGACGTGTTACATGGGAAAACTATCCTGAGAATTGCTAAACATATCGTCCTGTTCTTTTGTTCATAAGGCTTTCTCAACGTGCTCTTTCTTTTTGTCTCTGGAAAGTTTTCTCCAAAACGCTCGAAAGTTGATTTTCTAGAAAACCGTGTTTTTTTTATCAATAGGCGACGTTTAAAAGCAAGTTTTGGAAAAAACTGGGCGTTAGAATAAACTTTTAAATATAAGATTCGGATTCAGCATCGCAAGACGAACATTTAAAAAAACTGAAGCCTCTAACACAAAATATAAATTTTCAAATTTAATTTCAAATCTGAACAAACGTAGGAGTTAGAAACCATGAACATTGTTTAAATCAGCTCGAAACTACGGTAAAATAGACTCTGTGATAACTAAATTGTCAGAACAGTTTATATACAAATTAATATGCACACTAATGGCCATTTTCCCATTATTCACTTGACAGAGTGGTCACTCTAAACTGTATTCAGCTTGGGATATTCGAATAGGCTGGTGTCGCATGATGGCATTTATTTTTAGTTTCAATATGATCGCTAGTTGCTAGATCACAATTTTTGTAACTCAGCTTATACATGATTTTTAACAATAGGAATGATACTTTCTAGATCTTGCTCTTGTCATGTCAGATCACTTCAAAACTAAAAATAAACATCACCATTTGACTCAGTATAGTCGGATATCTCAAATTCAATACAGTTCAAAGTGATCAGTGATCAGTTGGCTGACTTCAGGACTTCCAGTAAAACGCTTATAACTCCTGAATGAAATAAGCTAGAAGTGTCAACCTTGCATACAGCAACAGAAAAAATGTCTTCGTTATCGATTGGTTAAATGGGACCTTATAGTGGGTTGAGAATTTTAATTCGAAAATGCCTGGTCAAACTCTAAAGTAAAAAAGTGATCAACTTGACCAATTCAAAGTAAAGATGAATTAGCACAGTTGACTTCCTCCACATTTCTGTTTGGAATGGTGAAAATCGCAGATTCATAGCTACTTTTGTTCTTGAGATTTTCAAAAAAATCTCGAAATGAATTATGTTTTGACACCAAGAGCAGTGAAAAGCACAGAAACTTCGCCCAAACAAAGTTTAGTAGAGTTTTTCTTAAACCGCATTACATATTGGTGTTTTTTTTTCATCAAATCATTCATTAACAGGTGCTCAGTTGTCAAAAGGTGGAACTATATATATTTGTATTTTATCCAGACACTTTTTCGACAGAGTGGATCCCGAAGACATAGTCTCGAAAAGGTAAATGCATAGTATAAAGCACAATAATCACAAATTCTAAAGAGGACGAGATCAATCTCCTCAGGGGTACGCCTCATCAGGTCCCATACTGGATAAAGTACTGGTATATTCTATTATTTTTTATCTGTAACACGATATGAATGTGACTAAATGATGATTAGAACCGAAGTGAAGAGTCATATATTTGCTTTATATATTCTCAAAAAGAATGCATTAGAATGAGAAAGTGATACCGAGAATTGTTTAGAACAGGATCTATGAAGTTTCGTCACAATATATATGAAGAAGATAATTTCATACCAATCATGGTACTAACACCGTTTTCCCGAAAATGGTTACTTTATTTTTTTAGAATCTTGACCTCTATGTGCTTGATTTAAGGAAAAGAGTTTTTTCTGTGATGTTGTATTAAAAGTTTATTTCATACAAACAATGATTGCAAATATTTCAAAAAAAAGCTTGTAGATTTGTTTTTTCACAACCATTTTCTTTCAATATATGAAAACCAACACCAAAGATTCAAAATCAGCGTTGGTTTTAGTGCATTCCTAGTTTGCATAATGTTTGCAGCTTGATCAGCAATCACTTATCATTAATATTTTTATTTATGTTGATAATTATTTCACTTATATATATATTTCAGATGAAAGTTGAAAGAAATCGAGCCTAAGAACATAATAATTTCTCTTCGTTTTGTGATATACTAGATTTTTCGAATTAATAATACAATTGTTTGAAGATAATGGGACTAATTAGTGCTATAATTTGGTTATTTAATGAAATTCAAACAATGTATCATATTATGTTATCACCTATACGCGGCATTACACATAAAGAAAGATTAGAAAGTTTTTATGCTGGTCAGGCTAAAAATTATGATTCATATAGAAAAAAATTACTTGCTTGTAGAAAAACATTATTGGATAAACTGCCATTTGGTGGAATTTGGGTTGACATGGGTGGTGGCACAGGTTTTAACATTGAGTATATAGCACAATTGGGTAGATTAAAATATTACACAAAAGTTTATCTAGTAGATTTAAGTCCATCTTTGTTACAAATTGCAGTAAAACGAATCGAAGAAAATGGATAGACAAATGTTGAAATAATAGAAGCAGACGCAACCAGTTGGCAGCCTAAAGAACAGAATATTGATCTAGTTACTTTTTCTTACTCTTTAACTATGATTCCCGATTGGTTTTTGGCAATTGAAAATGCAAAAAAAATCCTCAAACTTGATGGTCACATTGGAGTTGCTGATTTTTATGTTTCAAGAAAATATCCTGAACATGGATTCAAATTGCATTCATGGTTTCACCGTTTATTTTGGATGGTATTCTTTGGATTTGATAATGTTAATCTTTCCAGCGATCATCTATGTTATCTAAATAGGCACTTTCAAACTAATGAAATAATTGAAGCGTTCGGCTCAGTACCTTACATCCCTTTTCTAAAAGCACCTCAGTACGTATATATTGGACAAAATAGCTCTACTTTATAGACATATTCATCTATTTGATATTCATCAAAAATTCACTTGTATCGTTGTTTTATCATGATATATCTGGTCGAAGTAGTATTCACGTATATTCTTCATTATTCTGAAAAAAGAACTAATATTCTACTCTCTGTGAAAAAATCACTATTGGTTCAAGTTCAACAGAATTCTCTTTGTGCACATGCGAGAATGATCTTGGTTCAGACTTGCATAACCAGCATGGATATGTGACTTTATGCTGAAAATACTGTTGACTATTACAATCGATTCGTTACATATTCAGTATATAGTACACAATGAAAGATCTCCATGCTAATAACATTCAAAACAAAATAGAAAAAACTTAACAAAGAAAAAACTAATAGAGGCAACTTTTCAATATAAAATATGCTCCCTTGAGGATGGATATGGGTGTGGGTGTGGATATGTGTGTGAGGATGTGAGCGTGGGTTTGGGTGTGAGTGTGAGTATGAAGGAAAATCAATATCCAAACCCACACCCATATGTCTAGCAGTAGGCAAATACAACATGAAAATTCAATTCAAACGTTTTTTTTTCGTTTATACTTCAATTCTCTCTCAATACATTTAAAACATTCACAATAGTTTTAATTATTTATACATAACTAGTCTAGTGCTTCTTTAATCGAAAATATTATCTATCTTTTTCTATCTAAATGTTACGTAGTAGCCGTTCTTTGAATGCACACATGTTTGAACTAAATTTATAACGTATACGATAAAAATAATAGGACACGTCATATTGTATGCGTATATTATTATGAGTCAATATGAGTATTTGATTATATCCTGACGCATCTTTATCCAAGTATGAACAACATACGGCCGTTGAAATATTTATAAGAACGAGAAATATGACGTATAATCAAACCATTCACATCTGTTCGTTTTGCGTATTTTCTTCGGATAAAGGTTTCATAATGAGTGATAAATATAATACAGAGATATCTAATAATAAAGAAGAAATTTTCAATGAAAATCAAAATGGAACTAGTGATGAAAAGTATGATAAACAATAAACTTGATATTATATTATTCTTCTTCTTTTATATAGTGTTACTTCTTTAACGAGTGAACAAAATTCCAAAAGAGCAATGTTCTTTCAAAGATTTCACAATAAAAAAGAAAATAAAAAACCTACGAATGCTGTCAGTCTTGCAAGTTTGGTAAGAGACAATGTTTTATTTTGTTGTAAAAAAAATTGTAACACTTATTTTAGTTTCGATATGCTACGATGATCGATATAATCTACATGTTAATTGGTACTCTCGGAGGTCTAGCTAATGGTGTTCTTTTACCACTTAGGGTTCTTATAGTTGGCAATCTTATAAGTTCATTTGTTGAACGATCTACTGATTTATGTGGCCGTAATTTTACAGCTCTTAGTATTGACTATTGTCCACCAGGTTATCAATTAACAGCATCAAATTATTTTTCATCAATTGCGTAAGTATATGTTTAAACAAACAAAAATTAAAACAAACTTTAAGGAAAACAATTATTATTATTTAGTATTTGCCATCTTAATGAAACTACGTTCGATTTTCAAGGTGAAATAAAAAAGCAAATAGTTTATGCAGTTGCTAATGCTTGTGCTAGTATTGTACTGAGTTATACTCAAATAGTATTTTGGTGTATGGCAGCGGAAAGACAAGCAAAAGCTATTAGAAAGGAATTATTTCAATCGATTCTTCGAAAAGAAATTGTCTATTTTGATTTACATAAAACTGGTGAACTTAATACAAAATTGACAGATGATGTAGATAAAATTCATTATGGAATCGGAGATAAACTTGGTTCAACAGCACAATTTATAGCTGTTTTTTTTACCGGATTGATTCTTGGCAAGTTTATATAAGAAAAAAAAAGCTATTATTTTTAATAAACTTATGTTATAGCTTTTGTTAAAGGATGGAAACTCACATTGATTGCATTATCTACGGCTCCATTACTATTTGTTTCAGGTATATTCTTTTTCAAAGTAAGTTGTTTATACTCGAAAGCAAAAATAAAAATAATTCATTATATTTATTTGTAGCTTGCTTCCGATTTGACAGCAACGGAACTAAAAGCTTATAGTAAAGCAGGAGCAATAGCTGAAGAAGTATTTAGTTCAATTCGTACGGTACTATCTTATAATGGACAAGAACGAGAAGAGAAAAGGTTGAATTTCGATAATAATTTATTTCATGATTGTTTTTTTACAATAATATACTTGCTTCTGATAGATATGAGAAACATCTTGATGAAACTAAAAGAAATGGTATAAAGAAAGGTATAATCCATGGTGTAACAATGGGATCCATCCGGTTTATAATCTTTTCGTCATATGCATTAGGTATTTAATTTCTACTAATGATTGACGTATTTTTTATGTAATATATATTTTGACAATAGCATTTTGGTATGGAGCAAAATTCATTCGAGACGAAGGATATAATATTGGAAATGTTCTTATTGTAAGTTAATTTTACTCAGATTAATTTGTTAATTTGCTTCGCATTATTCGAAAACTTCACTGAATACTCGTTAAAAAAAGTATGAATCGATATCGTATTGTTGCTATTGAGATAAATGATGTTTAGATATTTCTCTATAGAAAAAGCTTTTACAGTCATTTTGATCGTTGTCGTTTCAATAAAAATTATTATTTTTAGGTATTCTGGTCGATTATCATCGGTGTTTTTAGTTTCGGTCAAGCTAGTCCACATTTTCAAGCTCTAGCTCAAGCTCAAGCTGCTGCTTACATTGTATGGGAAGTTATCGATGGAGTAAGTAGATAATTAAATTTAATTTAGATAAAAATATTTTATTCGTGACCTATTCATTTTATAGCTATCTAAAATTAATAGCGATTCAGAAACTGGTCTGAAAAAAGATAATCTTATTGGTGATATTAATTTTTCAAATGTTCATTTTTCTTATCCATCACGACCTGGTATTAAAGTTCTTAATGGCATCTCATTTGATGCCAAACATGGTCAAACTATTGCTCTTGTTGGATCATCTGGTTCAGGAAAATCAACATGTGTACAATTATTACAACGATTCTATGATTCTGATTCAGGTTCAGTTTCCATTGATGGCCATCAAGTTACTGAATATAATTTAAAATGGTTAAGACAACATATTGGCGTTGTTAGTCAAGAGCCAATTTTATTTCAAGCAACTATTCGAGAAAATATTTTATTTGGAAGAGATACAGCAACTGATAAAGAAGTTTATGAAGCAGCAAAAATGGCTAATGCACATGACTTTATTATGACTTTCCCTGATGTAAGTGATACATTAATAATATTAATGCTTTTCTTCTTATTTTGTTTTTGTTTTGTCAATTCTATTGTTTGTTTGTGTGTATTTGTAGAAATATGAAACTCGAATAGGTGAGCGTGGAGCTACGCTCTCAGGTGGGCAAAAACAAAGAATTGGTAAGCATATAATAAGAATATGTATGAGAATGTTGATCATCTTTTCGTTTATGAAATTCTTTGTAGCCATTGCTCGAGCATTGATTCGAGATCCAAAGATTTTACTTCTTGATGAAGGTAAATATTCATTTATTTTTCTTTTCATAATTTTATCTTTCTTTTTTTTTCTATATAATAGCTACTAGTGCACTTGATAATGAAAATGAAAAAATAGTTCAAGAAGCCTTGGATCGTGCTGCTGAAGGTATACTAGAAGTTCAATTGAAATATTTCAATCATGATCTTGTTTATTATTATTAGGTCGTACAACATTAGTTATTGCACATCGTCTATCGACAATTCGTAATGCTAATAAAATTATTGTAATGTACAAAGGTAATGTAGTTGAAGAAGGTGATCATGAATCATTGATGCATGCTCGTGGAACTTATTTTGCTCTTGTTGAACAACAAAATTTACATAAAACTGAAAGAGAAGAACAATTAGCTCTTGAACGACAAGAATGTAGTGGATCAAATGTACCAAATCAAACTGAAGAAATTCAATTAGGTTTCAGAAGAAAATGTGCTTCAATTGTTAATAGTGTAGCATCATCAGCTATGAATGAATTAAATGGTAAAAAAACGAATTTACTAACAGATGAAGAGGAAGTTGAAGAAGAAGATGCTGAAATAAAACAGAAAAAGGTAAAATTGAAAATTAGTTTTATTTTAATGAATATGATTTCTTAGGAAAAAAAGCCTAATACTGCTTTACAAGTGTTAATTATGAACAAACCAGAATGGATATTGATAATATTTGGATGTGTCGCATGTCTATGCAATGGTGGTGTTGAACCAGCATTTAGTATTATTCTAAGCAAGTTAGTTGTGGTAGGTCTTATTTTTTTTTCATATTATTCTAATCTTTATATAATAATATTGATCTTATTGAAAAGGTCTTTCAAGAATGTGATAAAGAAGTTCAAAAACAGCGAATTCTAGTCCGTGTACTTTTATTTATTGGTTTAGGTGTTCTTATATTCATTACAATGTTTATTCAAGTACGTTTTTCTATGTGGATGATTCGAAATATGTTTATTCTTTTATTATTATATTTTTGTTTTATCTAGAGTTTTTTATTTGCTTGTTCGGGTGAAGCGCTAACGAAAAGGCTGCGTTCTAAATCATTTCATGCTATTTTACGTCAAGAAATTGCTTATTTTGATAATCCAGATAACAATACAGGAGCTTTATGCACACGTTTGGCCACTGAAGCATCTGCTGTACAAGGAGCAAGTGGTATTCATATTGGAATAATGTTACAAAACATAGTTTCACTTGGTACTTGTATTATAATGAGTTTTGTGTTTTCTTGGCAATTGACATTACTTGTTCTTGCTTTTATTCCATTTGTCGTTGCTGGAGGTTTTTTACAAAATCATTTAATGACAGGATTTGCTAGTAAAGATAAAAGATTAATGGAAAAGGCTGGCAAGGTTCGATTATTATTTAAATAATGAATATTATTCATTTAATTTATATATGCTCTCTAGGTAACAGTAGAATCTATACAAAATATTCGAACAGTTGTACAATTAACTAAAGAAGATTATTTTTACGAGCAATATTGTTCACTTCTTGAAATTCCTTATCAGTATTATATTTTCTTTTATGTGTTGAATTGAAATCTATTATAATATTTGTATTATAGATCGTCTATAAAACGAGCAAATCTAGTTGGTTTATTCTTTTCATTAACAAACTCAATTATGTATTTTAGTGTAGTAGCACTGTTTAGTCTTGGTGCTCATTTAATACAGGAGGATAAAATCACATTTGATTCTCTTTTATTGTAAGAATAAAACTGTCTCTAGAATATTATAATTTCATTTTATCCTAGGTGTTTTAATTGTATTATATTTGGTGCACAAAATGTTGGACAAACAGCATCTATGTAAATATTTGAAATGATTACACGAAAGTCATATGAACGTTTTGTTTTTGCTTGGTTCATAGGGCTCCGGATTATAGCATGGCTGTTCAAGCTGCTGAAAACATTTTAGAACTATTGAATCGAAAACCGTCTATTGATAATAATTCATCTGATGGTGATGAAATAGTTAGTCAATATCAATAAATTTGGATAATATTGGCCTTTTTCTCTTTCTCTTTCTTTTGCTTTAGTCAAACTTTAATGGCGATTTGGAATTTGTTAATTTTCATTTCATTTATCCAAACAGACCTGAATCAGTTATTCTTAAAGATTTCACACTTAAAATTCGGAGTGGTAGATCATCTTTTTATTCATTTGTTCATATGAATTTTTCTTTTTGTAGGTCAACAGGTTGCACTCGTTGGTAAACATCATCTTTCTTTTATTGTCTTGTAGTATCTTTACTTTCAATAAATTCATTGATCTATGTAGGTGCATCTGGTTGTGGAAAATCAACAACTATTCAATTGATCGAACGTTTCTATGATGCAAATGGTGGTCAATTGGTTAGTTCATTTCTTTTCACATGTGCATTCTTTCATTTTCTTTTATAGTTAGTTGATTCAAAAGATATTCGAAGTCTGAATCTTCAATGGTATCGATCGCAAAGTATGCAATACACTTCATTCTTCTTCTTTCTTTTTTTTCTATTTAACATGGATATCTTTTAGTTGGTGTTGTTTCACAAGAACCAGTTTTATTTGATATGTCAATAAAAGAAAATATTGCTTATGGTGATAACAGTCGAAGTGATATTCCTATGGAAGAAATCATTGAAGCAGCTAAAAATGCTAATATACATAATTTTATTCAAAAACTTCCAAATGTAAGTTATACAATGAGGTTTTTCTTTCTACAGAACAAACGAAAATATCTTTTTTCAGGGATATGATACAAATTGTGGTGCAAAAGGAACTCAATTATCAGGTGGAGAAAAACAACGAATTGGTACGAACACATATAGAAAAGAGTTTATAAGAAGAAAATTAACTTGTATAATTTTTTAGCAATTGCTCGAGCATTAATTCGAAATCCTAAGATATTGTTATTTGATGAAGGTAGGAAGAATGAAACAATCATTGCTGTATAATGTATAAAAGATCATTTAGCAACAAGTGCATTGGATAGTGAAAATGAAAAGATAGTTCAAGAAGCATTAGATCAAGCTCAAAAAAACCGAACATCAATTACAATAGCACATCGTTTATCGACAATTCAAAATGCAGATATGATCTGTGTTTTACATAACGGAGTTGTAGTTGAAAGTGGAACTCATCAAGAATTATTTGCTTTACGTGGTCATTATTATTATTTAGCGATTGGAAAACTTAAATAAATGGTAACATTTCTCTTTGGTTTTTTTGTTTTTAAATATGTTTCGTGTTCAAGAAATATATAAAATTTCTATAAGATGTAAAAGAATAAGAAAGTGTATTAATAAAAAAAATTGTACACCATTTTTCATAAAAAAATCTCAATTGGATGCATGTGCACACACTAAAATAAAATGTGCCGCAGTCAGAATGTGTCGTAGTTTGTCTAATAACCATTTATTCATCGTTTTATTTCTTGCGTACAGCTATATATAACCGAAGCAGTTGAACAGATTGAACTTAAACATTTTTGTCTTTTCTTCTACATATCAGGGTGGGCGTGGGTATGTGCCTGTCCTTTTCAATCACACCCCATCCACCCGCTTCCACACGCAGGCCCATAACTCTTCAAAGGCTATCCAAGGGTATCCATGACTGTAACGGCTATCATAGATGCTATCAATTGCTGTTCTTGATCTTTCTGCAGTAGTATGTATGTTTCTTTCTGGCGTTAGCAGTTGTCGTCGCTTGCAGTGTTGAAAGCGTTTGTAGGGGTAGTCCCGTCAACTAGTGAAGAATTGTATTGTAGTGGTCCTAATAACTGCTGAAGGTGTTTATGACGTTTGTTCAAGTTAGTCTATAATGTGTTTGATTTGTGGTCTTCTTAAAATTTCAGAAGTTCACCGGTATTCTCGCCCTAGTCTCTCATTTTGTTGAAAAGAGTGTTGTGTTCATTTATTTAGTTACCTTGATGAACTTGGTGGATTATTTTCTAAAATACGGCATCTCGGATAATTCTTGTCTGCCGCGGCTTTCAGAGGTATGGTAGTGGATACTCTCGTTGGCTTCCTGATAATCCTTTTTCCAGTCTATGGTTTGCGGCTCCAATGTGCTTCCTGAGAAATATCTGTAGACATTACTGTTTTCTCAATGATGCGTAGATGATAAGATGCAGCTTTGGGGAGCGATATTGTATATAAGTGAATTGAAGGTCCTTGACGTTCAGAAATGGATGAAAATACGTTTGCGTCTCATTGCAAAAATGTTGTGGCGGAGACGAATCGCGTTCGAGCTAAGGTGTTTTGTTGAGGTTGATAGGTATTTTTTAGGGGATAAGAAATTTTGTGGTTTCATTAATTGAAAGTCAGTATACCTTTTTTGGAATACCATGGCTGATGTTTTATTTGAATTAATTGAATACTAATTAGTATATTTATTCCTGGGTACCGTGTCCCTAATTTGAATGAAGTATGACAGTAGCTTTCTACGTATTTAAGACAGCTGGCTTCTGGGAGATATCAAAAGTTTTTTTGTTTTTGCTTATAAGAGTTCCAGTCTGGAAGAGAACAAAGTAGCACCGATCGCACTTTCGCAGGACCAAAATTGGAATCGGAACTTTTACTTTTAGCAGTATCAGAACCTGGACAGACAACTTCTCAAGCTGGTAGTGGCGAGTTTTTGTATCAAGAGCCATACTGCAGATTTGTATGCTTATCATTCTTTTGTGACTAAGAATCTTAAAATCAGAGTGTGGGTGTGGGTCAATCAGAAGAGTAACGCCCACACTCCAATTGTGAGTAAGACAATTGTGTGCACATTGAACAAAAATGATCATTTCTTTAATTTACTCTAATTACATAAAAATTCGTAATAGTGTGTAAATGATCACTTTTTTTAATGTATTTATAAGATGTCAGAATAAGGAGACGTTATTCATTTATAACGCTTTAAAATTCATCCTCGTATAAGTCACATTGAAAGCACAAGCAAATCATATCCGTTGTATTTTTGTAAGCCGAGAAAGATAAGCCAGTTCTGATAGAGAATGGCTTCGATTACATTCAAGAAGGTACTTTTTACAATAAAATATACTGGTAAGATGCACACTGTAACAAACAGAAACGTCAAGCTAGATAGTATGCAACTAGCAGCATGATTTGTCATGGAGTTGGCGATCACAATCAGGCTCCGAATTCAAGTGTAGATGGAATTCGTCGATATCGTGCTGAGATGCGCAACATGTCTAAAATAGCAGTAATCACACATTCAATTATTGCTACAGCAATCTCCACAGCATCTACTGGAGTGTTAAGCCAGCTTCCCTTTATCAACAACATGAAACGTACGACTTGCCCATAACAAGCTGCAAATCTAAATCTCCCAACGAATCCTTAGTCAATATCATATATACATATTACCGACTCATTGGCTGCCAGGAAGAAAAATACACAATTTCTTCAATTATTTTAACAACACTGTTGAAAGATGACACTAAACGATTTAATAGCATCGTGGATTCAGCACATCTTTGTTTTTGGCGTTCTTTGAATGATCTTCAAACAGAGAAATTGTATGTAGATGGTGAGATTTGTCAATTGATAACAGGTCTCGTGTCAAAACCAAAGAGGATCACAACTTAACGCACAGCATCCAGGATCTTACGAATTTTAGAAGATCCTGCCAATGATAATATATGAAAACTGAAAGCCATTCCTCACACATTGATGTTATAATTGTTCATTGATTTGCTCGTCTTGGTTTGTTTCTTTTTTTGTATTTTTTTCTTCGTTGAATGACATACATTTTTTTTTGACAAAAATATTTATTTGCACATAAATGATTCTACATACATTTCCCTTTCACACAATAGTCGTGTTTCCTTTCATGGAAAGTTTAAAATTGGACCATGGTTAACAGCTGTAAAGACGAAATTAGAAGATTCGATATCAGTCGACGTGTCCGTAACCAAACAAATAGAAATATAAAGTTTTATAAAAATGTAAATTCAATGATGAAGATGAGCAATAAAGAATGCACCATAAGTATCCACTCTATCAATTTTATGTAATTTAGTTGCTAAACATTGTTTCTATGTTATTAATTGATTTAGTGTGGTTACTTTTCCTTCATATGTTATTGACGTACTATCAACAAAGGTTGCCTTTGACGAAGCACTTCTCCAAATATAACGACAATCTTTAGTGGAATTATCAAGAATTTGTTGCCATTCTTCAGTCAAAATATTTGATGTTGCCGCCATCCAGTCCATATGATCGAGTAAAATAAATCTACTAATAACTTTTTTCTGATGTTCTTTCAAGAAATTCGTAACTGTTGTGGTATGAATGGAAATTCTATTAATCAAACCATCTTTCAACTTGTTGAAATTTTCTTCTTTTAGAAATTCTGGACAGCATTGTTTCGTATATTTACCATAAAAGTAAACACGATAAAAATAATTATTTTTCAATGGTAACTCAGAAAAAGCGGTGTCTATCACATTCTTAAGAAAATCTGCAATTGGTTTGTCCGTTAATTTTTGTTGTGTAAATGGGATTCCATTTAAAAGTGAAAGAGTAAATGGAGAACATAACAATTTCATAAGAATACTAGTCCAGAACTTTCTCTTGATATACTTTTCATAAATCATTTTCTGTTCTTTAATAGTTTCAGCATCAAATATACTATCCACATGTTTTGAAATACCAATCAACTATATGTACCATGATATTGTATAAGCGAGTAGACCAGAGCATCCTCACCAATAAAAACTGTTTCGGATGTTTTTTCCGTCAAAATAATGTTTATGATAATCCCAAAAGATTTTTGCTTCTTGTGAAAGATGCATTGTTAAACGCGGATAAACATCTTGAGAAAACCTTCGGAGTTTACCATCTCCCCAAATTTTCCAGTATGTTGAAAAGTCTAATTCTTTAATACAAGCTATTTTAAGTTCAAGAATAGCATTTTGGCATGGATTCCTATCGATCGCATAAATATGCTTTGGTTTTTGAAGTACATAAGTTAAAATATTACATCCAGCTGAAGTGATTGCCATTAAGTTATCATTTTCACTTAATTCGAGAGCTTCAATGTCTAAAAATGGATCTTCCCAGGTACAATTAAATATTATTTTTTGCAAATATACTTTCAATCTAATATATTCAAAAAGCGAATTAAACCACCATAAGAAAAAACTCAATTCTCGAGTAAATTTCCATATACAAGCATAATATGTTTTGTATCATAATAATAGCTGAATTTCAATGTCTTGATCTATCTAAAAGTAAGAATCTAAACGTTATTTGATCATGAAAATAAGCTATACGAAAACAGCCGACAAATTATAATAATATTTGATTAGCAATTAATAGTGGTTCTTTTTTTTTTCAACTAAATCGATCAGAAAATAATTTCTATACATGAGGGGAGTCATAACATAAAAGCTTTTCTCTAACTGTTATCTTTTTTAATTTCCATTAAAAGACTTTAATCTTGAATTTTAGAAGAATCGACTGATTTGATGTATCTTTAGTTCAACCACTTTCAAAAAATGTCAATAACTATTTTAATTCTACATGGATCTCAGTTTTTCTTTCTTTATTTTTCTTCTGATGTGTAACCATGTAAAAAAAATAGAAATATCAACAGATACATGATTTTAATCGATTTCAGGCGTAATTAATTGATGAAAATCAAGTAATTGTGATTTTTTTGATTAAATGAAAGATAATAATCATTTTTTCCGCATAATTGATTGGGAATCATTAGTTTTTCTCCGATTATAATCGTTTTATTCACTAGAATCGATTAAAATCGATTTATAATGAGCATAATCGATTATCAATGATTTTTTATTAATCAATCAAAATCAACTTTAACCTTTCACCCTCCCATAGCGGTTCCAGAAGAACTACTGATAAAATAACTTCATAAGTGGGATATTAGCCTTTCTAATACGCAAATGTTGCACTCGAGCCCACTGAATGCCCTGCTCCTTGAGTATGGTGGCTTGATTTGATCCAACAATCATGTAGTGGAGAAAGGCAATTGAACTAGATTGTAAGACTTAATGTTCTTTTCTTTGACTACATCATGGAGTTAGTAGAACCAAACCAACATCTATCTCACGCTATTAGAGTAATGGGGAAAAGGCAAGGAGTGAACCGATAAAAGTTAATTGCAAAGAATACACGTGTTTTTAACACGTATTATCAAATTATAGCCTATTTCACTCGGAGTCATTTTATAACTTCAGAAGAAATCTAATTCATTATAAATACTATTTCGATTTGTCATGAGTTGAAGTTTATGATACCTATCTTAACTCTGTTTCTTGATTACCTCCCATCTGCATCTGCACAGTAGTGGCTACATGATCAATTGTGCCACTTTATCTGTACAATTTGCGAAGTTGTCGTAAAGCTTCCGAAACATATTCAATTCACCAGTGACCTTCTTCATCCACTAATATTATACAACAATTTCAAAAGATCTCTACTTACTGCAACTCGAGAACCTTGTTTCAAAACTTTCAATTTTTTCATTTTTTCAAAATTATGGATTTTGTAGGCCCGATATTTCAATAATGAAGCAAAGAAAAGAAATATTCTTTTTGCCAATAGAAATCCCCTGAGGTTTACTACAAAAACGTTCTTATGGTTTTTGAATCTGATGCTTTCTTTAGTCTCTGAGAATGTTTTACAAATGGTCATTCTAGTAACCAGCGGGGGGGGGGGGGAGAGAGGGGGTAAAGAATTAAGTTTTAATCAATTTTCGTCAAGAGTTGGTGATTTTTTTTGATAAAAATCAAGCAATACTGATTATAATTCACCATAATCTATTATAATCATTAGTAGGGGTGGACTACTTAACTTAACTTAAATATTTAGTTTAGTTTTATTACTTAACACTCAATATTAGATTCAATTTTTGGTACGAAACACTTAACTCATTTAAAGTTAGGTTTGAATGATTCCTTTACGAAAATATCATTCAATTTCGAGTCTTTTATTACTGCAAAAGGGACAGAGCATGATATTGTTCAACCATCCAAAAAAGGATTCTTGATAACCTCTGATGGGTCCAGAACAGCAATAGGTTTTGTTCTTACAACAGGTGAAAAAACCGCTACTGAAATCTGATTGGTTGATGCCTCTTTCTTATCGATCCATCAGATTCAAGAAAACTGCCTTCTCCGCTATTGCAAGGACAAACCTTAATGTTGTTGCGAACCAATCATGGGTTATCAAGGATTCCCTTTTATATGGTTCAAACAATGGCACAGTGCGTTCCTTTAGGGATAATGAAAAACTTAAAATTAAATGCTATTTGTTTAACGCAATCACTTAAACTTAATATTAAGTATTAAGTTTGTTATTAACACTTCATTTTTTAAAATTAAGTTTTAAATAGAAAACCGTAGACCTCATATTACGTGTTAAGTGATAAAACTTACATTAATTTCAAGTTAGCGATTTATTCTAGTCATAAAGATACAGATCTGACGAGGAAGTATCCCAAGGTGCTAAAAAGCTTTTGAGATCAAAATTTGTCTACCAGAAGTGCACATATACACCAGAAAAGACTTAAAAGGATATGTGCACTAGTTACAGTTCGGCTGAGATATCGGTCATTGTTGTATAATTTTTCATCGGAACCCCATTTTTTTCGATAAAATCAAAGTTTTCAATTCTCACTAGAAAATTTGTCTACATCAGGATCCCAATCAGGCTAGCTTGCCAGCAAAGTTTTTCACCTTTCGACAACTTTTCCCTCAGATACTAGGTTGTTATCATGGAGACGCTTCTTTTATGAATATTGTATTATGCCTAAATATTTTGGAAAATTCATATCTTCGCAATAAGTTGTCCAAAGATTTTCAAAATTTATATGCAAGCTGGTTCAATGGAAGCCTTGATGTGAGCAAAGTTTCTCGTGAAATTCGAAACTCTGATATTATCTAGAAAAGTAGCGTTCTGTTGCGAAATTATACTACACTGTCGATACCACAGCCAAATTACAACTTGTACTCATATTCTTTTAGGCCTTCTTTGCTGTATATGTGCCTCATGGGTGGACAGATTTTGAGTTCAAAAACGTTTTATCATTTAGGAAGATTCCCTTGTAAGGTAGTAAGTGTAAGGCTATAGGTGTAATGGCATAGTCTTAAGGGTATAATCATAGCGGTATAGGTAAAAGGATATAGTCATAAGAGTATAGTTATAAGGGTATCGAAATGAGGGTATAGTCATAAGAATATACGTATAAGGGTAAAATTATAAGGGTATAGATCTAAGAATACAGCTATAAAAATATAGCTGTAGGAATTTAGTTACAAGGCATAGACGTAAGGGTTTAGACTTAGAGATATCAGCATTTCTATCTAATTTGTAGGATATAGTCATTATAGTGTAGCAACAGCGTAGGCGGATTTGTAATAATTATTGCGAATTTTAGTCGATTAATATAGTATTATTTCGAGAAAAATCGGAGACCATAAAAAAAATCGTTTTTTTTCTCATTCCTAGTTCTCCCTGGCTAGCAGATGAGAAGGGAATCACTAAATACAAAAAAATCGAAATACGTTTTTGTCGTAGGATCAAAATGGAACAAAGATGTCGATCTACTTACGATCAAAGCATTACCTGAACACGTACTGTTTTATTTTGTTTGATCCGTGATCGACCATCTCACCTATTCATATATCATAGAAAAAAATGACTGGACTTTTTCCAAATGACGTTTGTTTACGTGTAGAAAGAAAGATTCCCATCTTCATAACGTCAATAGAGCACACAAAGGAGATGCGTCACATCACCGTTTGTATCCTTTTCTTTCGCAATGTTGATTGTCTCTCTCACTTTAAACATTCGCGCTGACGTCTTTTCATTATGAGTTGACTCATGGTGACAAAAATAGCACCCCTTCGCATTAACGTTCATTTTCAAAAAAAGAAATTCTCAAAATAAGAGAAAAGAAGATACATAAGCGTCTCTCGATTTGTAACCAAATACTTCTCATGTGAAGGTTTTTGACGAAAAATCGGATTAAAATCGATCTGATCTTCATTAAGAATCGGTATAAAAGCACACGATTTTAATCGACTATTAGTCGATTATATTCAAAAATGAATCAAGAGAATTATTGTCTAAATGATTATTTCGATTAACTTCGATTATAATCGATTTATTAGTAGAATTGTAACTAGTCCTAATCATTCACATTTAATCGATTATGATCGACGTTAATCTAAATAATCGTATTTACACGTAGCGTAAATCGAAAAATTATTACATAGATGTACGAATAATTTTTCGATTCACTGTACGTGAAGTTATCACTTGCTTCGAGTATTTTCATCCTGGATTCGCCCAGGAACTTGTTCTAACTATGCTATTCTTGTTCCAAGTATAACTTGACGAGTCTCTCGATTGGTATCATTAGATGTTCCATACCTCAAACCAATAACCTTAAAAATCGATTTTATGACTTTTTCCAGTGAGGAGCAACTACCCAGGAAAGTATTTCCATCTCGGATTCGCCTAGAAACTTCTTCCCATTGTGCTATTCTTGTTTTGTGTACAACTTGACGAGCTGGGT